TATAACCAACAGGCTACTGCAGCAGGCCCCCAGATTCATATTTTAAAGGTTGTAGATGACAACTGTTCCTGGAAAATGTTTCAGCTGTTTTCTTCAGTCTTTTTATTATTATTATTTTTAAATTTAGAAGACAAGAAAAAGAAAACTGCTGAATCCATGCCACCACATTCACACCAGAAGTCCTCAAGGTTAAGGTTAAATTCCACAATTCCAAGCTGTGATTTCAGCCAACTGCACAAAAACTTCTTTTCCCATGGTGATAATTATATGGTGTTTTTTCATCGTCAAGATAGTTGGCCAACACTTACCAATTAATTCCTCCAATACCCTGCAGCAATTATAAATAGAAACCACACAGTTAATTTGACTAGAAGAGATAATTACTAATATCAGTAGACAAGAAATCCCTTGAGGGACTGGAGATGAATAATTAAATTGTGATAAAAAATATTTTGAGGTATGGTTATTTTCTGCTTTTATCACAGTAAAGAAATTAGAGCTTCATTAAGAAGCAAATTTTACTTATGAAGAAACAGATTCAGACAGCAAGTTTCTTGTCCAGGCAAACACTGATTAGCCTGTGTTCAAAATGGAATCTAATGTAGAACTGTTTAAATTCACTGCTGTGGTATGAATGCTGTGTGTCCTGATTCATGTCACAATCCTCTCCCCCTGAGGGATGACGGCAGAGGGAGGAGCAGCATTTGGGACCAGATTAGGTCATGAGGGTGGAGCAACTATGTGGTTGGAATCCTCATTCCAAAGACCTCTTGGGCCTGTCTTGGGTGGCGGGTAAAACTGCCACACGCCATGCCTACATCCATTATGGGTGCCTGTTCCACTTCCAATCAAGCAGAGCCTGGGAAAGCAGCAGAAGGGGGCACACACGCTTGGACCCCTGGACCCACGTGGGAGACCCGGAAGAAGCTCTTGGCTTCAGTCCGGCCCAGCTACGGTTGTTACATCTATTTGGAGAGTGAACCAGCAGATCAAAGGTCTCTGTCCTTCTAATTCTTGTCTTTCAAATAAATCAAATAATAATCTCTAAAAAAATCTTTAGTCTTAAACATGATAAAGGACATTAAAGAACTTTTGTTTTTTCTGTACTATTGATAATAAACTTTATTAGAACTTAAACTAAAGAACAGTTAAGTCTATGGCCATATCACCCTGAATGCGCCCGAGCTCGTCTCATCTCGGAAGCTGAGCAGGGTCGGGCCTGGTTAGTATTCGGATGGGAGAAGTTAAAATAAAGATGATTTAAAATATCTACAAATTGATCCATTGTATGCTAAAACAGGCAACATGTTTTATAAAAGTAAATTATATCTTCCAAAATTTAAAAAAAAAATTGTGAGAAAGAATGGCATACCTGGATATTTGGCCACTCCGTTTAATGTTTGGTTGGACAGAAGGTAGCTGAATCCTCAGGTCACACATTGTGATGCATCTTTTGGTTGAAACATATAAAGAAAATTTAATCTCACATAGATGTGCTGTTGGCAAAGTGATCTTCAAAGCCTTTTTATATAACTGTGAGTCTTATTTGATTCTACACCAAAACATAGTCAGTAGAAACTCCTTAAAGATCAGCTGCAATATGAAATATTAGCATGAACCCTATTAAGCAAATTGGCATGCTGTGACACCAAAATTCCTTGCTCTGCCGTGCCTCTGACCGATGCTTTCACCCAAGCATGGATCTGGAGCGTGAGGCACTGATGACCTGGCAAACACTGCTCCCCCCGGCTAGGAGTGTCGGATGCTGACCACATCATAAGCATCAGGAAATCATACTTATTTCACTTCAACATTTCCATCTGTTTTTAAAAACAGATTTATTGAAAGACAGAGTGGCAGAGAGGGAAGAGGCGCACAGAGGGAGAGATTGAGAGATTTTGCATTGCTGCTTTACACCCTAGATGGTCTCAGCTACTTGGCCAGGCTGAAGCTAGAAACCTGGAATGTCACTGACTTCTCCCCAGGAGCAGCAGGGGCCCCGGCACTTGGGCCATCTTCCACTGCTTTCCCAGGAGCATTCGCAGGAAGCAATAAGGGAGGCGAAGCAGCCGGGACTCGGATCAGCATCCTAATACGAGACACGGCATCATAAGCTTACCTTGCTGTGCTGTAGTGCCGGCCTCACATAAAAACTTTGAATTATTATTGTGAAGCTCATGGTGGTGTATCTACATTTTTCCAAAACTTTGGAAAGCTTTGCTCTAATTTTCTCTTCAAAACTCTGTAATTTGCCAGATTGCCTTCAAGGGGTAAGCTCACTTCACGCATTTTCAGGCAATTGAAATTGCCTGAACAATTTCAATACATCTCAATATTTACACTTGCCTGTCAGCCATTCTTTCAAGTGTAAAAAGTACTCTAGTAAAATACTGTGCTGGTCAGCTCCCAGGTCGAGCAATGCCTCTGCTAGAGGGCAACTATTATTGTAGAAAGCAACAATGTTTATTTAAGTGGAATCCCTATGTTATTATACAAAATGCTAAGGATGTATTCTTGGCTTAGGCATTGTGGTGCAGTGGGTTAAGCTCCTGCTTGGTACACCTGCTTACCACATCAGACTGCAGGGTCTAAGTCCTACCTCTCCTTAGACTCCAGTATCCTGTTCACATACATGCTGGAAGGCAAAAGATGATGGCTCAAATGCTTGGGTTTCTGCCACCCACTGAGGAAACCCGGAAGAAGTTTCTAATTCCTGCTTTCTGTGTGCCCCTGTCCTGGCTGCTCACGCATGTGAGGAGCAAAGATAATTCTCTGTCTCTGATGCTTGATCTTTCAAATAAAAACAGGCTTAAAAAAAGTTGTGCTCTCAAGGGTCAAGAGAATAAATAATATTTTGTTCACCAAGAATATTCTTAATTAAAACCAGCAATTTTGTGCCTGGTGCCACAACCTAGTGGCTAAATCCTCATCTTGCATCTGCTGGGATCCCATATGGGTGCTGGTTCATATCCTGGCTGCTTCACTTCCCATCCAGCACCCTGCTTGTAGCTTAGGAAAAGCAGTAGAGGATGGCCCAAGGCCTTGGCACCCTGCACCCATGTGGGAGAACCGGAAGAAGCTCCTGACTCCGAGTTTTGGATTGGCTCAGCTCCAGCCGTTGTGGTCCTTGCGGAGTGAACAAGCAGATGAAAGATCTTTCTCTATCTCTTTCTCTCTGTATATCTGCCTTTCCAATAAAAAACAAACAAACAAACAAACAAAAACTTAAAAAAAGAAAAGAAAAAAAAACACCACCAGAGCACTTTCAGTCAGCTTGTACAGTAGTGAAGGATGCAAATGATGAGTGGTACAATTTGTTGGCACTGTCAAAACCGAACAATATGCAAAGTCTTACAACAAAATCCAGGGTTTCCCTTACTCCCCTTCCAACTCTGGTCGCCTTTCCTGCTTCTCCTGGGTCCTTCTCTGCTTGCTTTCTGTGCTGCCACATCGCTGTGTTGTCACATGCCCCTGCCACCCCCTTCTTCATCTCCCCCTTACAAGGAGTCCACAACCCACCCCCACCCCCCGGAGTTGTGAGTCTAGTTTTAGAGTCCTTGAATCTGGGTTTAACCATGCTTTGGTCAATGGAATGTTAGCAAATGCGAACCACACATTTAAGAAATACTTGACTTGAGAAACACTTGCTAGACAATAAGACACATGTGGATAAGCACTACCATTGCCCAGGCTGTCACAAAACCAAACCACCGGCCTTGGAAGAACATTCTAGACAATCCATATTTAAGTACGAAGGCAAAAACCCACAGTAGCAAAAATGCCCAGATTACTGACAGAGTAGGAGAAACTAAAAATGTCTGAAGTCTTTAAGTTTTGTTTGGTCTGTTGCACAGTAAAAGCTGCTGACAGTTGCATATTTCTAAAGACATCAGACACTATCTGTTCAGCTGTGAACTTTCCACATTGTTTCCTCCCAATACACTGGCAGATCTATCCGATGGAAGTCTTAGCCTCCCTCTGTTGTTCCTTCCGCCTCCCCAAACACACAGAGTTCAGGGTTACGTGAAGTACGCCACATCCAGCGTGGACTGGGTTCGGCCTCCGTTAATTATCCCCCATGGCTCAGATGGATGATCTTTCTCTGCACAGGGAAGTCAGAAATCTCACAGATACAAAACGAACACATCTCAAAAAAATCAATTTCGCCGGCTCACTGATGAATGAAGGGGCCAGTACGATGTTAAGCATTAAAGTGCCCATCCACCACGCCTGAGGAATCTGGAGCTAGAATCGAACCGGCACGTTGATGGGACACGGCTTTTCCCTTAGGGGATTAGAGGACAATCTCAGAGGGCTGCGGGGGTGGGCGCACCATCACGCACAAAGAAAGGTGGAGCCCTCACAGCCTGGCAAAACAGGCGTGGTACAAGGGGGCTATTTATTTACTCATTTCTTTTATCAGGACTGGCTTTTCATTCCGGACACTCCACCCACTATCTGGCTTCTTTTCAACGTTGTCTCACGCCTCTTGCCGACGAAGCAGTTCTCCCACTGCCGTCGCACCCCGACCCCCCCCCCTCACCAAGCGTCCAGCGTGGGAGGGCGGTCACCCGCAGCCCTCGGGGAGCCCCATTTCCGGCTCCGAGGGGCGGACGGTGCGGACTGCTGCCCCACCCCCTGCCAGCCCAACAATCAGGGTCACGTGAGCAGCCGCGGTCCCGTGACGCCTCCGACGTCAACCGTGGCCGAGCCATCACTCAGCCGAGCTTCTCGCGCTCCCTCCCCGTCCTGCACTTCACCCCTTTCACTAAATGTCCTTTTTCTAGACGGCCTCCCTTTGGGAACGGTGAACTACCGGAGCAGCCTCAATACCGAGGCGGCCTTTCCCTAATAGGCGAGAACCGTTCCGCGTTGAGGGCCGTTGTACTTCTGATTGGCCCTTAGCTGTTGTCAGTCTCCACGGTTCTCCAATCAGGAGGCGGGCCCTCCCGCTCTCGATTCCCCATTGGCCCGTGTGTGCGAAGGAGGAAGGCGTAAAGGAGGCCGTGCGCGAGCGAGCAGTCAGTGCGCCGGCGCGGCGGAGCTGTGGGGCCCCGGGGTGGGAGCGGGCTGCGGGACTCGTTGTTTGGCGCCGGAGGCCCGTGACTCAACCGTCCGCGTTCCACCGCTCCGCGGAAAGCCTTCGCCAGGGACCGGGCCGGCAGCGAAGCCCGCGAGTCTCTCCCCATGGTGTCCATGACTTTCAAGCGGAGCCGCGGCGACCGGTTCTACAGCACCCGGTGCTGCGGCTGTTGTCATGTCCGCACCGGGACCATCATCCTGGGGACCTGGTACATGGTAAGGGCGCTCGGGCGGGAGCGTGTGCGGGAAGTGGGGGTCCCGGCCCCAGGCCGTGAGGGAACGCTGCTGTACAAGTAGTCCGGGGACTTTGGGGGAGCAGGCGCGCCCGGGAATCGGGCTGTTCCCATGGCAACACTTGGGGTGGGGGAAGCGTGCGGAGGGTCCGGAGTGCCGAGCTGTGGGAGTCAACCTTGTCTGGACTCCCTTCGCACTTCCGCCATCTGATCGACAGCTCTGCCCGCCCTCCCTCGGTTTTGTTTTTCCTTTCGAACGAGGCGAGGAGGAGCGGACCTGGGTGTCTGCGTCCCCTTTTCGAGCTTGCCTCCCCTCGCGGAGAAGCCGGAGACCCGCTCGGAGCCACATCAGCTGCTCGTCAGCCTCTCCGTGGGTGCTGTCCCTGCCCTGCTCGTGGCCCGACGCGTCCCGTTTTATTGGGAGGCCCTGTTGTGTTGGGCCACGTAGGCTGGCGTTTCCTGGGCTCCAGGATCTCTGGATTTCTGTCGCAGTCGGGTTAACACTAGGAAGACACTAGCGGCTTCGTGCCACCCACCTCTTCAGTATCTGGACACGTTCAGAGCTAACTTGTGACTCATGCAAGTGTGGTTCTATTTAAGGCAGTTTCAGGTTACTTGGACTTGAACTCTCGGACAAACTTCCTACTGTCTGGCTTGCTCCTGACTGTGGTTTTGTGCAGGGTGGCAGGGAGTGACAGCAAACACAATGCACTTTCCGGTGGTCAGTGACCTGCAGGACAGGGGAAGCCTGATCCCAGGCCCTGTGCGCCTTTCTGTGTGCTGGCTGCTCCCCTGCCCAGCGTCTGGAAGTCATTGGGAACCGTTCAATGCAGCTGAGCAGATACTGTTACATGGCTCGGCCCCAGGGGACCACCTGACTTCCACATTATTTCTGCCCACTCTGTTTTTCCAGTCTTGTTCCATTGATGTACATTGAAAAAAATCGAACCTTGAATCTGTATAAATCTAATTGTATCATATCTTTAATCGGAGATGCCAAGTTTGTAAAATTGGGCGTGTAAGAGTTAGTGACCCAGCTGCCTGGTTTCTCCCCGCCCTCCCCCTTGACTGAGAGGCTGGCTTTACTTTCTCTTGTTCGTCCTTAGCTCTGTTTTCCCCGCAGGATCCTCAGGCCCCTGACTCAGCCCTGCCCTTCTCCCCCTCGGAGAGACTCCCTCGTGCTGGGTGAAGCAAGTCCAGTCGTGCCTGCAAACTTCCTGTCTTGTTTCTCCTTGGATCTTCCCCCCATTCACAGGAGAGAAGATTTCTAAATTCCTCAAGAAGAAAGTAACCACCGCCCTGTCTTAGCCATCCAAGCACAGATGGCTCCGTCTTCCAGGCAGATTTTTTGGCGTGAAGGGCTCAGCTCAAAAATGAAAAGAATTGCAGGATAAGGGCGAGTTTGCAACAGGAAACTTCAAGTGCGGAGGGTAAAAACTGTAGTGAAGAGTATTCATCTTAGGAATTTGGGAGTGGATTTGGATGTCTTCCCTGGAAGCTGTAGATGCGGGAAAGGGTTGCTTCCTCTTTCTTGGCTCTTGGCAGAGATTTCTCAAGCTGGTAGAGCCTTGCCGACTGCTGGTATCCCCGGCTGTGTGCCGAGGTTTATTGACCATGTGCGCAAATGGCTTCGGATGACCTAAGAAGGGAATGAATCACAGGGCAGGTGCCATTGATCCTTTGTGTTGCTGTTACCTGCCACGTGGTAGAGCTTGTGTGTTCCTTGTTTTGAACTTGGCATCTCCCCTTGACATGCTGGTGGCATTGCAGGGACCGTTGAAGCATAGATCAAAATACAAGCGAGAAGGGGAAGGTGGTTGGTGGTGTCCAATTCAAGGCAAGGGCTGAAGGACCCGAGGTGTAGCCTAGCAGTCAGAGGCCTGCGTTCAGGCAGGAAGTTCCTGCCGGTGTCCAGCACTGGGTGGCAGTGTGGATGACGCAGGACAGCACCTGGGAGAGCTGGCCGTGCTGTGGGCTTCCTTGGCCTGAGTGTTGCAGGTGTGTGGGAAGTGAACCAGGGCATGGGAGCTTGCTCTGTGTGTGTGTGTGTCTGCCTCTCAAATATAATTTAAAGATTAGGAAGTTCCGTGGTTTTGTTAATAATGATATTGCTAGTGACTTTCAAAAGCAGTTTTGTTTCTACATAGCTGGAGAGACATTTAACACCAATACACAAGGCCGTCTAGACCCAAGTGTAGTGTAATGCTTCTAAACAGAGAGGTCTGGTCCAATCAGTGACTTTTGTTGCCAGAAGCTTCTTTACAGAGATGAAATAATCTGGGGGTGAGTGGGGTAGAAGGCTCCTTCTCTCCTTGTCTACCTTGTTAGGGTACGCTCTTCCTTGGTTCTAGCTGAGGCAGTACTGCATCTGCAGGAGAGAGTACTTAGGGTTGCTCTAGGTTACCTGGCCTGAACCTTCTGACATGCTGGAGCCTTTCGTGCTGCTTGGGACTTGAGGGCAGCCCTGTCGCTGGGCACCAACCCTGCAGCTGATACTGACTCCCTGCTGTCCAGTGCCACCTGTACTGATGACCACGTGAAGGAGCTGGTCACACTGTATGTAATGTGTTCCTTGCCTGGTACAAAGAAGTGCTGGGCAGGACCCCGAGAACACCGGAACCAGTTATTCTGTGTCCCAGGGTAGCAGACTTTGGCATGTTGGATTGGAAAGAAGCCTGCCTGGTGGAGTCCTGGGCAGGTGACGGGAAGTTTCAGAATGGCCTTGGTGGAAGACCAGCATGCCTCACATTGCTCTTGCATTTACGATGATTGTGAACAAGTTTCTTCTGAGAAATAACTCAAAGCATTTAACAAACAACTGAAAATGACCTTAAGAATCTGCAGGGCAGGAAGGTTAGTACTGCGCGTAAAACACTCTGCACATCTGCAGCACATCTGCAGCAGTGCTTTCTCTTGGTGTGTCCCTGGTTGTTCAGGTGCTTCACCCTTGGAGTTGATTCTCAGCAGGCAGATCGATGCCAGCAGGTTTCCTCTGTCGGTACTCCTTTGTCACCAGCTCCTAATTGCTGTCAATGACGGCGGCTTGTTGATATTTCAGTCTTTTCTCAAATCCATTGTTTTGTGGCTTAGTGCCTTTGAATATGTTATTCTGTTCTGAAATCATTGCTTTCCTAAGTCACATTCCCAAAGTGTTATTAAGGAAGTTTTAAGCCATAAATAGTAAAGATTCCCCATTTGTTCATGAGCCAGGTTTAACCATGAACAGTTTTGCGAATTTCACCTCAATCTCTTAGTGCTTAACTCAGATGCCTCCATGGGGAAGATTCCGTATGTCTGTTGTGGGCGCTTATTAAATAGCAGTCTGATTGCGTTCTAGTACAAGCAGCTTGTTTTCTCCCTGCATAAAATGCTCACCCTGAGGGAGGAGGACGATGTCTCAGCCTATAAAACCTGTATAGTAACTAAATTATTAATTAGTATACTTTTTGAGATTCAAGAAACAGTAAGTGAACTATCTCCTCCCAAAAAGATTCCAAAGAATCTTCTAGGATGTGTAGCAGTGAGATGAAAGGGCAGAAAGGGCTTGTCTCAGGAGGCTGGGTGTGTCCGTGGCTGGGACTGCTCCTTCGCACCCAGCAAGTTCCTGCACATCTGTAACTTGTTTGTATACTTACATTAGGGCTGTTAAAGGCTTCAGAGCCATCACATAGCCCGCTGCTAAATCCACACGCCTTGCAGGTTCATGTGGTGCGTCGAGTGGGGTGTCCCTTGTCCCTGCTGCATTCTACATCCTCCATGTTCCTTCATTCAAAACTTAACCTTGCCTGAACAAAGCTTTACTTTATTCAGAAAGTAATGAACAAAATGAATCAGAAATACTCTGGAATAGTTTGTACATAGTTGGTTGTTTTCAGAAAGACTTTATAAGACCATATTTTATGTATGTTTTCGAAACATTCAGCATGATGGAAACACCAGCTATAATCAGAAGCGAATCAGTAGGGAATCTGTGTATTGGCATAGCACGTTAAACCTCTCGCATCCCAAATGGAAGTGCTGGTTCAAATCCTGGCTGTGCCACTTCCAATCCAGCTTCCTGCTCATGTGCCTGGAAAGGCAACAGACGATGGGCCATGTGCTTGGGTCCCAGCCCCCGACGAGAGAGACAAGAATGAAGGTCCTGGCTTCAGCCTGACCCAGTCCTGCAGATTCTTAAGGTCATTTTCAATTGTTTGTTAAATGCTTTGAGTTATTTCTCAGAAGAAACTTGTTCACAATCATCGTAAATGCAAGAGCAATGTGAGGCATGCTGGTCTTCCACCAAGGCCATTCTGAAGCCTCCTGTCTCCTGCCCAGGACTCCACCAGGCAGGCTTCTTTCCAATCCAACATGCCAAAGTCTGCTACCCTGGGACACAGAATAACTGGTTCCGGTGTTCTCGGGGTCCTGCCCAGCACTTCTTTGTACCAGGCAAGGAACACATTACATACAGTGTGACCAGCTCCTTCACGTGGTCATCAGTACAGGTGGCGCTGGACAGCAGGGAGTCAGTATCAGCTGCAGGGTTGGTGCCCAGCGACAGGGCTGCCCCCAAGTCCCAAGCAGCACGAAAGGCTCCAGCACGTCAGAAGGTTCAGGCCAGGTGACCTAGAGCAACCCTAAGTACTCTCTCCTGCAGATGCAGTACTGCCTCAGCTAGAATTTGTGAAATGACTGGAGCTGTTAATGAAGAAAATGTACTTCTCTGTTGGGTAAGCAGGGGGGAAGTAGATAACCGGGCTTGCTTGCTGCTGCGGGAAGGCTGTGCCATCCCTTCACTGTGTCAGCAGTTCAGCTTTTCACAGAAGGAGGAGGCTGTGGCCCTCAGAGCGGACGCACACTGTGCTGGGTGAGATCCCTGATTAAATCTCCAGCAGGCCTGTTTCCGGGCATTAAAAGGCCCGAGCCTCCCGGGATGCTGTGGAAAATCACTAATGACCATAGGTGGAGGTAATTTGCTGTGTAAATAGAGTCACAGCCCCGGTAGACAAGGTAAATTCACCAGATGGGAATTTGTGATGGGATTTCAACAAGATGTTGATACTCTTTTGGACTTGATAGAGAGCAGTGTTCAAATGTCCCTGATAACAGGGAGGGCTGGCCCCTTGGCAGCTTTGTCCTGGACTTTGTCTTATTTCCTTTTGTTTATGACCTGGATGGAGATCTTGATTACATGAAGAATGGTTTTTGTTTTTTCCAGATGTGGGAAGTTGAGAGAAAATCTGTAGGGTGTTAGAATGCAGATCCAGGAAGTCTTGTAATAGGATGAAATTTGATTATGAATACGTGAGAGACTTTTGCTGGACCCTCTGAATGCAGCTGTAGTGGTACAAGTGGTGGCTCAGCAGCAGGTGTAAAAAGCAGTTAGGTATTTTCAGGAGCTCCTCTTGTGACATTCAGAACACTTAGGAAGCCAGTGCAACCTAAGGTAGCATTCGTTGAAACTCATCAGCTATAGTGTGGGTACTCAGTCTGTCCTGACTCGGCTGACTGCACCTTGTTTTAATAGTATGTCCATCAAATTGGAGCTGGAACATATGCTGGTCAGAGGAATGGTTTCTGGTGTTCAACGTTTGTTCTAGAAAAGACAGCATTTGGAGGCTGCCTTCAGGGGCATTTAGTTAGAGCAGCACTACCTGGCAGGGAGGCTTGATCAGCCTGTGAAAATCTTAGAATGTTCTAAAAGCCTTGGAGTGTCCCCCAGAGGGAGAAGGGGTTCTCTCTGGCTGCGGGATGGTCCTCAAAGTCTATTGGCTGGATAAATAAATTTGACGAATTATACCTTCTTCAAATTCAAATTTTGAAATTGGTGGATGAATACATACCTCTGCATGTGACAGTTTGTGGTGATTCTTTAGTTTTGGTTTTTCTGCCATTTTATCCTAAAAATATTATGTGCTTCATGAAGTACTGTGAAACTTCCTCACAGTGGCAGTTGCGTATTGCGTCATCTCCAGGTGGTGTCCCACAGAGGGAAGACATCTAGACTGTGAGGATTGCTTCCTGGGAGTAGTAAGCATCATTGATGAAACGCTGTCTTCCACAGGTGGTCAACCTATTGATGGCAATATTGCTGATCGTGGAAGTGACTCATCCAAACTTAATGCCCGCTGTCAACAACATTCAGTATGAAGTCATCGGTAATTACTACTCATCGGAGAGGATGGCTGGTAGGTTTTTAGCTGAAAAGGAAATCTCTCTTGCTAGTTTTAGCGGGTTGATTAAATTAAGTGTGAGTTACATTTCAGAGGGTTATTAAATAAGTTGCATAATAAGGTTAACGTGAGTTAAATTACATTTAAGTTACTCTGCTGAAACAGAAAGATGGATCTTCCAAAGATATTCATTAGAATTGTAATACAACATTTCTAATGAAAGGAGTACTGGATTTTTGACCGTACCAGGTAAATGGGATGAAAGATTTGCTCCTGGAGCAGATAGACTGTTAACACAAAATACATAGTACATATCACTTGAATGTCTGTGGTGGTAATGTTTGCTTGGGACCACACAATTTTAAATTTGTCTGTTGTTTAGTAGATGAAGAAAAATTTGAAACTGGGGCTAGAGCTACCCAGGAACCTTTAAGAGTTCTGAACAGCATTACATTTCTGGTCTTCTGTGACTCATTTATGAAGTTGTGTGTATGTTGTATGGAAGTTTATTTGGTTTTTTTTTTTATTCAAATATTTCATTGTCCTTGGGCTACCTTCATATTACAGGAACCAGGAAGAATTTTGTGACCGTCATAAACAATAGTATGAAAACCCTAACAGTTGTTCCTACTGTGTATGTTTTTTTTTTTTTGACAACTTCTTAGTATAATCTGTGTTTTTGGTTTTTTTTTTGTCAACTGTGCGAAATAACAGGAACAGAAGAATACTTGTTTTTGAGATTTTAATGGCAGTCTCATTTGGAGACTTTAAAAATTTTAACTGTTAGCTGTAACATTTTAACATTTTATGTTACTTGCCAATTGGAGCATTTTCCCTTGTCATTTGTTTCTCCAAATAATTGAAATGTAGAAAAAAAGCTTGATGCTTTGCGCTCTTGTCTAGCCTTACTGCTAAGTTTAGTGCGTGCTGTATGTGCGTTAACTGCTGTGACGCAAAGACAGTGCTCTTGATGACTTTAATTACCCCAAAGCCCTTATTTCTGAAGAAAATACCTACTTGGGCCTGATAGTTTCCATTTCTTTGAAGTTGAGAATTTTGCTTTGTAGCTTAATATGTTGAATTCATGTTTTGTTTATATCTAAGTTCTTCTAAGTGGCATTTCGCATGCAAGAGCAGAGATGTTCTTTAAACCCTTAACATTTAGCTGTCCCCTAAGAAAAAGTAATGTTCTTATTAGATTGGTGCTGAAGGTCGAGGTTTGGTTCCGTAGTGATGCGGTTATACACACCTTGATCCAGTACTGTGGATAGTCTGCATTTACTCATCTTCATCATCATCATTGTGACCTCAGAGTCCTAATACCAGTCCAGACTCACAGAATTGATCAAAGATTGATGCTAACTAACTTAGCGAAACAGCTTACTGTTGTTAGGGATTATTTGGATATTTTTGAAAAAATTTAGTGTGTTTGGAATAGCAAATTGGAAGTTGAGAGAATTGAAGTCAAGCCTGGGCTGGCAGTGTGGCGCAGTAGGTTTCACTGTTGTAGTGCTGGTATCCTGTGTGGGAGTGCCGGCAGACCTTGGCCACCTTTCCAGTCCAGCTCCCTGCTGATGTGTCTCTGAAGGCAGCTGAAGACGGCCCAGGGGAGCAGCCTGAGAGAGCCCCCGTGGAGTTCCTGATTCCTGGCTTCAGCCTGTCCCAGACCAGCTGTCAGTGGGCATTTGGAGGAGTAAACCATTTTAGGTAGAAGATGGTATTCTTTCTCCTTTAGCTTTGCCTTCCAGATAGATAAAGTTAGTCTTTCAAAAACAAACAAAATAGACCTGACCTGTGTGCCTGAGAATCCAAAGTGAAGGAAACAGAGTTCAAGAGTTTAGGAGCTTGGGACGAACAGGGAGGTGTCTGATAGTGAGGCTTTGAGTTCCAGGTTATATTTCCTTTAAAGCAGAGGTGCTGTCTGTGTGTCTTTGAGCAGGTGTCAGCTGCCAGCTGAACCCTGGGCATGTCACAGGACTCACCCTAATGTCACCACTTGGTTCTCCAGGCAAGGCTGGTGGTCTCTGCCTGTGCTGGCATCCTCTGTGTGGGATAATCCATCTGTCTGCCAGGCTCTGGATGCTGCTGGGCACCTGTGTCTCACAGCGCACCTGGTTTGTTTGCATCCTAACCCAGTGCCTGTGTAGCAGCAAAAATGACTCTGAAATCCTGGAGGTGCATTACTGCAAGCCCAGGTGTTTTGTTCTTTGTTGTATATATAGCTTAATTGGATTTTTTGTTTCTGTTTTTCAGATAATGTCTGTGTTCTTTTTGCCGTCGCTGTGCTTACATTTATAATCAGTTCAGTTCTGGTATATGGAGCAATTTTTGTAAGTATGCTCTTTCCAGTTTGATCTTTAGTGTCCCATTGCCATTTCCTGTTGGTGACGCCCTGACGTGGCTGTGTTTCCTTCTTCAGTATCAAGCAGGCTGGCTGATCCCATTCTTCTGTTACCGGCTTTTTGACTTCGTCCTCAGTTGTCTCGTCGCTATCAGTTCTCTCACTTACTTGCCAAGGATCAAAGAATATCTGGATCAGTTAGTAAGTATGAATCCTAATTAAACTTACTTTTCTCATTTTTGAAAGATTTATTTTATTGGAAAAAGGCAGATATAGAGAGAAAGGGGGAAAGAGGGAAAGAGCCTTCGTCCTGTGCTTCACTCCCCAAGTGGCCGCAACAGCCAGAGCTGAGCCGATGCAGAGTCAGGAGCCAGGAGCCAGGAGCTGCTTCCGGGTCTCCTGTGTGGGTGCAGGGTCCCAAGACTTTGGACTCTCTTCTACTGCTTTCCCAGGCCACATGCAGGGAGCTGCATGCACATGGGAAGTGGAGCAGCCAGGACACGAAATGGCTCCTAAACAGGATACCGGCATTGCAAGGTGGAGGATTAATCTGTTGAGCCACTGTGCTGGCTCCTCTTTTCATTTTAATTTGTGGTTCAACCTTTGGTACTATTTTTCACTCCATTTTGCTTTTAAAAGTGTCATTAATTGTTCTTGCTTTTAGCATGTTGAAGTCAATGAGGTGAAAATAGAATGTCTTCTTATCATAGCAGTTGGATAACCTGACTTTTATTTTTAGTAAAAGTTGGTGAAGATGGATATCACAGAAGTACTAGTTCAGATTGTGGGCTGTGTGTCAGTGGAGCCTGTTTTCTAATGAAGGAATCAGAAATTGACAATGACCAAAATACAATGTTTGGCTATTGTGTGGGTGGGTATCACATGGGTACCAGACCAGAGCTGGAAAGCGATCATTGTGCCTGTAAGAGAGGAGAACCTAAGAGAAAGTGTGGAAGCAAATGTTTTAGGGCAAAGGGAGACCTGGTCCAGTCAGAGAACAATGGTAGCTCTGGTAACAGGCCCACGGGGCGTGGAAGCAAGAGGTGAAGATGGGTAAACAGGAGCTGGGGCAGGGATTGGTGGTCAGGTCAGCCATGGTCAGCAGCTTCTTAAGCATCACTCTCGGGTCACTTTCTCATTCGTGCAAAGTCACCCCAGTGCTGCCCTGTCTTCTGACCCCTTTTTGCATGCACCCTTTATTTCTGGACGCAGGCTCTCAGTGCAGTGTGGGCCAGGGAGGCCCTGGGCTATGGGGTGGGGCTGCTGTCCTGCTTCCTGTTTCTGGTGGGATTTCTCTCCTGCCTGTTTCCACTATTCCTCTTGCACACCCCAGTGTTTTCTGCTTTGTTCACTTTGTACTCCAGACTAGCAAGCACTTCCTCTGCTGGCCAACGTATTAAATACTTTTGGTTTTGCTTTTATTTTTTAAGATTTGTTTTGAAAGGTAGACTAACAGAGAGGGACAAAAAGGCAAGAGAGAATTCTCATCTGCTCGTTCACTCCCCAGATGGATGCAGCAGCCTGGGCAGAGCCAGGATACCACCCTGGTCTCCTACACGGGTGGCAGGGACCCAAGTACCTGGGCCTCCCAGGTGCAGTAGTGGGAAGTTGGGTTGGAAGCTGAGCAGCTAAGACTCAAAATGACAGCCTGATGTGGGCTGCAGGCATCCCAAGAGGCAGCTTCGTGCACTGAACCAGAATGCTAGATTCTTGTCTCCCTGATTTAGCTCAATATCTTATTACACATAGTCACAGCTGAGTGAGAATCTAAGTGAATATGACTATAGTCACGTAATGGTCCCTGCTAACTAGTGACAAACTGCCTTTTGCTCCTTCCTATGGAGAATTTGGACCAATGAGACTGTTAGAAGAAAAAAAGCATTTCTCCAGATAGGCTTAAAAGGCCCATGGAACTTGAGTGAATCCCAGTACCTCCTGCTTCTTGACTCAGTGGTCCAGCGGCAGATCTAGGGCGCTCTCGTAGTGTTCTTCCAAAGGCCAGAAGTATGGAAATGAGTGAATTACAAAAAGCAGGGCTAATGTGGACTCTTCAGATTTTCAGGCAAACTTAATTTATTAGCAGCATGGACTAACGGTGAGGAGCTTCAGAGGGCTTTTAGAGTGCCAAAGCCGTGATCAATTTCTAGTGGAGTATCACTCCCAGCTTTGGTGTCCTTTGTTGTATTGCTGAAGTCTCTCTGGTTTATCACAGAGCTGTGTCTGACCTGTAATTTGTGTGTATGTATGTATAGCCTGATTTTCCCTACAAAGACGACCTCCTGGCCTTGGACTCCAGCTGCCTCCTGTTCATTGTTCTCATGTTCTGTGTGGTCTTCATCGTCTTTAAGGTAAGTCACCGAGGGCTGCGGAGACCATGGCCCGTCTAAACTGCCTTGCCGAGGATTTCTGGTGGCACTGTGTGTCCTGGTGCAATAGTAGGGCTGGCTCCCAGGAGTGTGCTCTGTCTTACTTTAAGGGTGTGGCTGGACATGTCAGGAGTCTCCTGAGTGTAAAAAGCCTATTTTGCTTTCCGAAGGGGTTGCTCCTGAGGCTCAAACCCCACGTTTCTTTTGTATTACAACAGTTGACTGCGGTTGATGGGCTTGAACACCCTAGCTCTGGTTTCTCTGGAAACCAGTGGCATTTGGATAAGAGCAAGTAGAGGAAGGGACTGGCCCGTGTGAGGCCCGTGTGAGGCCCGCAGAGCTGTGGAGGCCTTTCTCCAGAGAGAGCCTGGGACAGGCTGGGGTCACCTGTGTCCTGTAGCAGCTTGCTGAATTTATGTTTTGCTTTTATTCTTTAGGCTTATCTAATTTACTGTGTTTGGAACTGCTATAAATATATCAACAGCAGAAACATGCCAGAGATTGCCGTGTACCCTGCCTTTGAAGCACCTCCACAGGTTAGCCACTGTGTAAGCTGTTGCTGATTGTTCCAGAAGACCTGGTGTTTGTGCTTGTCTTCTGTGCCCTGGGAAGCTGGACATGTGGGGTAGGGAGAGCCTTTGCTGCCCTTATGCTGCAACTGTGCTCAGACTGAGTCATCTTGCCTCAGCCCCTGCAGAGTTGTCTGTGGAAAGGGTAAGACAGGAAGCAGCCATGCTAGACTTGTTCAGCCTCTGGGCCTTCTGCGGCCTCATTGACTGAAGTTTATGTTGTTTTTGAATAAACATTTATGTGACCCAAAAGGGGGTCTGCTTTGTCTGAGGGGAGGTGTGTGCATGGATCCTGTGATTCCTTGAGTCTAAGGACGCACACCTCAGCCCACGTGACCCACACGGGGCTGTCCTGTGCCCCTCGGAGTCATTTGGCTCACAGGTGCTGCCCTTGTAGTGCAGGACAGGAGTGCCCTCACCCGAGAGGACAGGACAGGAGCGCGTTGTGTGTGTTTTGAGAGGCAGAGAGACAGCCGTCCAGTTCACTGCGTTACTTCCCCAGACACAGCATTGGGAGCTGGGTCAGGCCACAGCCAGGAACCTGGAACTCCTCTCAGGTTTTTACATGGGTGGCAGGGATCCAAATACTTGAGCCATCTCTGCTGCCCACTAGGGTGCACATTAGCAGAGAGCTGGGCTCGAATAGGCCGCCTCTAAACCCAGTGTGCTCTAATAGGGCTGCATGTGTCCCAGTCCTAACCACTGAGCCCAGTGGCTGTCCAGGCTTCCTTGTCTTTTGACTACAGCTTCACTGTGACTCCAGTCTTCAAGAGACTTGTGTAGCTGGGTTGGCTACTAGGGGAATGTATATACTTTGAATACAAGGCCCCCTTCAGCCCAGCTCTTCAGGCCCTGGGATTCGATTGGACACATTGACAGAAGGGGAGAGCAGCAGCACCGCCTGCCTGGCCAGGAGTCCTGGCAGTCGAGGGGCAGAATCCTGCCTGCCTGCTCCCCTCCACTTCTTGCCTGCATGCACGGATCCGTCCTTCCACATCAGTCTGAGTGTGCGATCTCACTGCCAGGTAGAATTCTAGGGCGTGTGGGCATTTCTGCCCTTGAGCTGGTAGCATCCCTACTTTTCTGCTCTGTAGCTTTGTTCACTCCACGGAGTCTGAAAGCTGATTTATCCCAGAAAGGTTAGTTCAAGAGCAATTCTGATCATTTTTTTTCTTTTCTCTTCAGTATGTGTTGCCAACCTATGAAATGGCTGTGAAGATGCCTGAGAAGGACCCGCCGCCTCCTTACCTGCCTGCCTGAGGACGTTGTGCCTTTGTCAATAAACCCCATGCCAGCCTTCTGTCTTGTTTTATTCTACAGAATGCTGCCGTGCAGGGCTCTTCAGACTTGTTTGGTATCAAATACATTGTCTTCTGTTTTGTTTAAGCATTTATTTTCAAACACTAAGGAGCTTTTTGGGACATCTATTCAATGTCTTTTTGTAAAGTGTGTTACATGTTAATACTTTTTCAGGACAATCTAGGTCACACAGGAGCAAGTGCCATCATATGCCTTTAATGGCGGGGCGGGTGGGGTGGGAGTCCTGCCCACGTATTTTCCTTTTAAACTTTGCACTTTCTTTCTATAATGATGTGCATTTTGGTCATTGGCTGCCCTGGTACCTTCAGGAAGAATGAACTACATATTCAGGATGAGTGTGTTGGATTGAAGATCTGAAGTTAGCTATGCAAATAGGAAAAACAGCATTTTGGTTGACTGAAAGATAATGGTTGCATGTTTCTAATTTGTATTTTTTCCATCTTTGTGATAAGATGCTTTAATAAATCTCTTGAATATTTACTGTTTCCATTTTTGAAAAGGAACTGTGAGTTGTTTTTGTAGCTGAAGCCTAACATTTTTCCATTATAATATGCAGTGTCTCTTGCCAGTGGGCATATGTCTGAGAAACGTGTCAGCACTGTTGTCATTGTGTGAGTATAGTGAAGTATGTGTAGACAAACCTAGATTAGCCACTGGTGTATCTCTTGTGGCCTGGGGCCACAGTCAGAGACCTGGTGAACATGAGCTGTCGGACTCACTGGTTTCTCTCTAGGTAATGGCAGGGAACCGTTGAGGCTAAGGGTGCTGGGGCTTGCCAGAAGACACATGTGTGTATAGCTAGTGGAAGGACATTGACCTTTCTCTTGGGGTAGAGGTCAGAATGGCTGCGCTTCCTGTGGCAGCTGACAGCACATGGCAGAACACCTGCAGCAGATCATCCGGGTCACAGCTGTATCTCTGGGCTTCCTAGTAGAAAGGTTTGCTGGTGCTGCCTCACAGATGCAGCAGCCTCTGTGGCTGTCACATTACTGAGGGCACGGATTTTTCAGTTGGATAGATTTTGATGGACAGGTGGAAGGTGGTAGGTGGTAGGCTACTTTACTTGACTATCAGTCATTTCACTAGGGGAATGTATATACTTTGAATATATAACTGTGCACCTTGAATATACTGTTTTTCTTTTAAAGGATAGAGAGCCAAAGAAAATGCAAATCTGGCAGCTTAAAGACACTGCGGTTAACATTTTGTCCTTAAAGTATTCTACATTGCATCTTGCTAAAACTGCGCAGAATTAGTTCAGGAGGTTAGCAGAATTGCCTGACAACACTCTCTCATCCTCCTTCACACTTGCTGGGTCACATTTCCTGCATTAAAGCTGAGATGGGAAAGATGGCATTCAGCTCAGTGGTTCAGACTTGTGTGTCCCACCTCAGGGTGCCTGGGTTTGATACCTGGTGCTGGCCCGTTACTCTGGCGCCCAGCCAGCACGTTCACTGGGAAACAGCAGGTATGGCTGTGCTGGTCAGGTTCCTGCACCCAGTTGGGAATCCTCCCAGCTCCTGGTTTCAGTCCCTGCCACTGGGGCATTGAAGAGAAGATGTAAATAAGGATGTATACATGGACTGTGATGCTCTCAAACAGAAAAATCAGGTCCATTAAGTGTTTATTGTATATTTTATTCTTTTTTGGGGGGCCATAGTAATATTTAGATATTAACCTAAAACCTAACTAATAATAGCTCTTCGAAAGTTACTTGGGCTCGGCATGATAGTGCAGTGAGTAAAGTCATCACCTTGAACATGCCAGGATTCCATATGGTTGCCAATTCTAATCCCAGCGGCCCTGCTTCCCATCCAGCTCCCTGCTTGTGGCCTGGGAAAGCAGTCAAGGATGGTCCAAAGCCTTGGGACCCTGCACCCCTGTGGGAGACCGGGAAGAAGCTCCTGGCTCCTGGCTTTGGATTGGCTTGGCTCCAGCCGTTGCAGCCACTTGGGGAGTGAACCATTGGACAGAAGATCTTCCTCTCTGTCTCTCCTCCTCTCTGTATATCTGACTTTCAAATAAAAATACATAAATTTTTTTTTTAAAAGGAACAAAATTTATTTTAAAAAAGTGTTACTAGTTTGAACATTTAAATACATCAGACTTTTGCTAGAAATGCAAAATGATGTGTTTGCTATGGAGAAGAGTATGAAGGTATCTTCCCGAAACTGAACTACCTACCACGTGTTCTGACAATCCTGATTCTGGATATTAGTCCAAAAGAATTGAAATCTGTATCCCAAAGATCACTAGTCACTACAGTCAGTATGTGGGAACAGTCAGTTCCATTGACGTGAATGGATAAAGAGGATAGGCATGCATGTGACGCAGTGTAATTCAGCCCTTGGAAAGAAGAGGTGCATTTTACAACAAGGGTGAATCTTCAGGAAAATATGGCCTGCATGGGGGAAAATAGAGAAAGACATACTGTTTGACTCCACTTACCTGAGTTGCTCATAATAGTCAAAATTCATAGGAGCCAAGAGGATCCATCCGCGGGCAGGAAGCAGGGTGAGTAAGCTCTTGAGATCTCTGCCAAACTTAGACTTGGTGAAGTCTGTGGCATGGTAGGCTAAGCCTCCATGGTGCCTGGTTTCTCATCGGTGCTTGCTTCACATCTCAACTGTTCCACAACCAATCCAGGTCCCTGCTAATGTACCTGGGAAAGCAGTGGAAGATGGTCCAAGTGCACCCACATGGGAGCCTTGGGAAAAGCTCAAGGCTCCTGGCTTCAGGCTAGCCCAGTTCCAGCCATTGTGGCTGTTTGGGGAGTGAGCCAGTGGGTAGATCTGTCTATAAATGTGCAAACATTTCAGTGAGATTGCATATATGGGCTCACCATTCTTAGTCTTTTGTGCCATTCTGGGTTTTGTCCCTTTTGCTTTATTCTCTTGACCCTCACGCTTGTGACCAAGGCTTGAAGCTGGTTTCATGTGTTCTGGAGGCTCTCATCACTCAGCTTGAGGCTCTTGGTGCCTAGCGTTGTGCTTGCCAGCACGTGCCTTCTCACTGGCACTGTGGGCACTATGGTCTAGTGGGAAAGGTGGCTTGAGGAGTTAATCTGTTGTCTGTATGGCTGAAATAGTACCCAAAAAAAAACCAAAAAACCAGTTCATGTCTCAGTGGGGGGGGGGTTGGTAAAAGTAAATGCAGAAAAGTAAATGTTACTGTCATGAAGTAGCATTAAACTGAAGCTGGCCCGCTGTATCCACAGAGTCAGCCAACCCATGAGTTTACTTTGAAAAAGGAAAAATTGTGGGGCCAGCACTGGGATGCAGTATGGGATATCAACAGTGTATGAAGCTGCTACGTGTGACACTGGCCTTCCAAGTGAGTGCCGATTGGAGTTCCAGCTCCTCCACTTTCCATCCAGCAATCTGTTACTATACCTGGGAAAGCAAAGGATGAGCCAGGTACTGGCCCCAACGCGCCATGCGGGACTCAGATGGCATCCAGACCCCTGGTTTCTGCTTCACCCAGCTTTGGCCGCTCTGGCCATTAGAGAGTGAACCAGGCCTTCCCTCCTTCCCTCTTCTCCCTCTCCTTGTAACTCTGCCTTTCAAATAAACCTTAATTTAAAACATTTTTCATTTATAGTGAGTATGCACAGCTATTTATGGCATTTCCTAAAGAACTTATATAATATTTGGTGCTAGGTATTATAGTATTAGGTGTTACAGTTGATCTACATATTATTCAAAGTGTGTGAGATGTGCAAAGGATTTGAGCATCTTTAGATTTTACATGGAGATCCTTGAGTCCATCCTGCACAGGCACCAGGGTCAGCAATATATAAATTGGTGATAAGAGCTGTGAAGGAAAGAACAGGGTTTGGGAGGAAAAAGCCACATTTAGAAGGTGACCTCTGGCCCGGCAGTGTGGCCTAGTGGCTAAAAGTCTTCGCCTTGAACACGCCAGGATCCCATATGGGCGCTGGTTCTAATCCTAGCAGCTCCACTTCCCATCCAGCTCCCTGCTTGTGGCCTGGGAAAGCAGTCGAGGACGGCCTAAAGCCTTGGGACCCTGCACCTGTGTGGGAGACCTGGAGGGAGTTCCTGGATCCTGACTTGGGATCAGCGTAACACCGGCCGTTGTGCTCACGTGGGAAGTGAATCATCGGACGGAAGATTTTCCTCTCTGTCTCTTCTCTGTATATCTGACTTTCCGATAAATATAAAATAAATGTTATAAAAAAAAGTGACCTTTGACCCAAAGGGAATGAAAAATGAAAGCACTCTAGAGAAGGACTTGAAGGGACTAGTTTGACATGAATTCAGAGAAGTGGACTTTTTTTCTATTTTGTTTTTTAAATAGAGCAGTAGTAAGACAGCTTCTCATTCACTGGCTCACATCTGTGCCAGTCAAGTCAGGAGCTGGGTGCCTCATCTGTGTGTGTCACAATGGCTGAAGGAGCACCATCACTGAGCTGTCATTTCTAGCCTTCCAGTGTACATCAGTAGGAAGCTGATTTGGAAGTGGAGCAGCTCTGACTAAAACCGGTACTGTGACAGCTGATGTGGCATCTCAACAAGTTGCTGTGCCACATGGCCCACCTGGGTTGACCTATGTGATTGTGATGACTGTCTTTAAAATGAACTTAAAAGAGCTGCACACAGAGAGAGATCTTCAATTTGCTGATTAACTCCCCAAATGGTTGCAGTGCCTGGGGTTGAGTCAGGCTGAAGGCAGGAGCCAGGACCTTCTTCCAAATCTTCCTTTTGGATCCTAACACTCAATCCACCTTCATGGCTTCTTACCAGGTCATTAACTGCATCAGCATTGGAGCAGTTGGGGCATGAACACTGTAGGATTATGTGCAATGCCACGATGCCAGAGCTATGACTGCCTTTGAGTGTTAGTGAGTGGAAGCTACAGCAGGGTTCCAAAGAGATGAGAATTCTGAAATGAGTCTTCTCGTCTGGAAAAAAAAAAGTGTCAATGAAGTCATTGAGAGTTGTAAGTAATTTGTAATTCACAAGGGGCCGGAAGTGCAGTGGCCAGCACATGACAAAGACTCAGGTACTGTAAGGCAAGCTGCAGAGAAGAGTTTTGGAGAGCTCCAGTATCAGGCTCAGGTTTGGCTTTGCATCCTCTTCTCCCACTGATGGATCCTGGGAGTGTGGCCCAGGTATGTGATCTCGGCGAGCTTTAATTTGAACAATGACTTCATCAGGTGAAGGCAGTGTATCATGTTAAGCAAAATGGCTGGCATGTGATACTCTTGAGTTTTCAAAAGTATTTATACATATTGAAATATTTAGAAAGAAGTTGCCTAAAAGCACTTTTTAGCAAGTGGGCATACTCTTTCCTTGGATCATTTGGCAAAGACTTTGAGTGAATTAGAACTTGGAGGATTTTTTTGGCAGGGGTAGGTTGGCCTGCTTGCTCTTGGTTCCTCCAGCACTGGAACACATCATTGCAGCTCATGTTACATGCACTGCGTCCCTGTTAGGGAATAGCTTGGACATGGAAGCT